CAGGCTTCAAATACTGGGCTACCCCTTCGGTGGAAGCATGGGCTCTATGTGCAGTTCCAAAAGCATCATTGACATACAAGTCTGCAAGAGAAGCCAGCTTCTTTGCAAATTCAGGATCATTCTTCTCCTCTTCTTTGTGGAATCTGACATTCTCCAGGAGCAAAACTCCACCTTCTGGCAAGGAAGCCACCAATTTCTCTACTTCTTCACCAATACAATCGTTTGCGATAATGACCTACTTGAGTGTGGATATAGAAGGTAAGTGCTGAGAGCCCCCTTAACCTGTGAAAATTAATGTAGAAAAACAGCAAAATTCGGAAGTACGCTAAACAACAGACCTCCACCCCAAGGAGTTCAGAGAGTCTGGGAACAAGAGGCTTCAAGCTGTATTTTGGCGTGACACCTTTTGGACGTCCCTGACACCAATATCCAGGCAAATACATCATTTCATTTGCTACGAAGCAAAAAGCTGACAATTACAAGAGCAAATAACCTCCATTCATAGTGAATACAAATAATATGGCATCCACGGAGTTCACCACTTCACCCCCAAGCAATTTATGTAAGGAATGTTCAAGATAATCCCGAGACGAGGCAATAGAAAAAGTACATTCGGATGATCAAATAAAAAAAGTTCATTCTTGTTTCCGATTGTTTTATTTGACATCTTATACTTGAGAAACTTGGATACTTATAGTGATTGAATCAAATATTATTTACTCCCCAAAAAAAAAGAGCTTCATTCTATGCAAAAAAGAAGACCAGATGATCATATAATTGCCGGTTCACTCACTGTTTTTGTCTATTCTCCCCCTCACGTGTTTTGGGCTCACGGGGACAGCCTGGAGTACATTTTTGACTGCCCCTAACTGCAATAGCCAGTTGGGGCACCCTCCCTTCACTCAGGCCGGCTAGAGGGAGTAAAGAGAATTGACACATCAGTTGAGGAGTTAACCCGTAGCTTCGTAGCTCAAAAAAAGGGGGTCTAATGTCTTTTTTTGCAACAACACTTGATCTAACAAACATAAAGGCATTAGAAAGACATATTTGCAGAGCCATAAAATAAAAGCAAAATTTAGAATTGAAAAAGGAAAAAAGAAAAAAGAGAGGACCGAATAAAATGAAATATTCATTGATCTAAAATTTCAAGTGATCAGGAAGAATGGTAGTAACATCTAACATGGGCTTAAAACAGGAAATGCGGCAGCAAAGAATATGTAGAAAATAGTAAGGGAGTGAAGATATATACGCACCAGGTGAGAAGCGAGGATGATTTTAGCGGAGCAGCCGATCAAGTAGTTGATGGTGGGGACAGCGGCTCGGATTCTGGTGTCGTCGGTGATGTTGAAGTTGTCGTCCAAAGGAACGTTGAGATCCACCCTCACAAAAACCTTCTTCCCCTTGAGATCAGCTTCCTTGAGTGACCCCACGCTCTTCTTCGTCGCCATACCTACTGTAATTCTAGTTACTGTTAGTACTACTTGCTATTCCGGGCGATGATTGAATCTGTAACCTGGATGGGAGGGGAGAACCAGCAAAAAAATTGATTGGATTACATGTTAGTAACTACTACTCCATGAGTAAACCAAAACTAACGGGAAAAAAAATGATAAATTGATTGGTTGATTGATTTATTTAACTTCTAAACTACACCCAAAACAAAACCAAAGAAAAAAAAAAGAAAAGAAAAAGAGAATACTAGGAAGCTCGAATTGAATGAGAGTTGGGAGAGACGATGACGATCAAGCAAACATACACACTGATGGATGAGATGCTGGGAGACTTATAACAGCTTCACTCTACTGTCCGCGGCTTAGGTGATGGTGATGGTGATGGAGGTTTTAAACTTCACTAATAAAAAGAGAGTGCCAATTACGTACACCCACTACTTACTCATATACTACTGCTAGTACGGTAGTAGTGGCAGACTAGAGTGGTATTGAGAATGGAAAGGAGAATCTGCTACCCAATGTTTTGTTTTCTGTCTTCTGGGTCAAGAAACTTTCGAACCATTCCGTCTTCGTCCAGCCAGTAGTTTTGGCTAGAATTTCAGAATGGAAAGGAGAATCTAGAAACTTCTGCTCCCATCTTTCGTTTTTGGGTCAAGAAACTTTCGAACCGTTCCGTCTTCGCCTAGCCAGTGGTTTTGTTTAGGCCCATTGGAACCAATCTCCCCCACCAATTTCCGCCATATTAGGGAGTCCAGTGCCGTCCATCCATTTCCAAGTACTCCGATCTAGTTTTTTTATGACATATCAAGAGCTGGAATGGATGGCTTGCTGCTGCGGTTTCCTGGTTCTATACGCTTTTATCGATCCTTCGGGTTTTTGTTTGTGTTGGGGGGGTGGGGGAGCCACCAGAGGTTGTTTAATTACCGGTTTTGCAACTATAATTTACAATGTCCGAGAGTCGGTTCATCATTCAGCGCGCTCAGCTACTACGATTTCAATTCTTTCCCAAATAACTCCTAGCTTCCAAAACGTTCCCAAGTCCGACACTCCATCAAAACCCCTTATGTTTATTGCGGTTACGGATTCTTTTCTTTTTCCCCCAAAACATAAAATAAAATTGCTCTTGGTACAAAATAAAACTTTGCTTACCATTTCGCTTTGTTTGTTCGGATGATCTCACAAGGGCAGGCCAAAATCAGACCTTACATTCACCCAAATGCGCACATCGAAATCAACTCCTCTCTTCCTACATCTCCCCTTTACAAACCCCAAATACCATAAACAAAGGCATTAGGTTTAACAAGAATTTTAGTTTTGGTTTTTGCCTGCGCAGGAACTGGAGTAGTTTGGTCAAGAGCAATCATACTTGAGCTCCAAACTGGCACCATCCCCGGTGGACATTGGCCCACTAGCAACTCCAACCTTCTCCGCAACTGCAATCGAATCTCCTCCAGTGATGTTTGAGTCCCTTGCGCTCAGGTCTGCTTGCTTGCTTTTCAGTGGCCTGCAAAAAATATTTGCATTTCTATCGACAACATAATCTTCCTTTCGTTAACCAACCCCCCTCCTCCTCCTCCTCTCCTCCTTCCCCAACACCAAAACAAGGGAAAAAAAAGAGAGAAAAAACACGTTATTATAATAGTTAATGCAGGTTACAATAACGGTATTACGTGTCAAGTATTCCTCAAGAAAGGTGCAGGCCCAATCGCAAAACACGCAACCCTGCAACATAGTACAGTTGCAACGCCTTTCTCCGTTAGCAATTCTTCGTATAACAAAAGTATCTTGATCTCATTTGACCTCGTAATAGACAATCCAACCAGAGTGCTTCCATCTTGCCTTCTTTCCCCAACCCCCCAACCCAAGGGCTAATCTTATCCGACGCATTCATGAAAAATATGAAACCAAATTCCATATCCAAGCTTACAAGCCTCGGTTCTGATGACAAATTCAAAGGCCTCCATCCAATATTACAGTTTTTGTAGTCTCCAAGACCTCACTGAATCTTTTGAGAGAGTCCAGTCCAATATCCCGTCTCATCCAGCCATCTGGAATAGCAGATGCCGGCACGACTTATGATAATAAACACAAACTTTCAGCTTTTCGACTCACTATTTGGGCCAAAAATGCACGAAGACCAAAGCATCTGAGATAATCAGCATAATAAGGTGCACGCAATTGAAGAATTTTAATCTTTTCAGAATGCACATAGAAAGTTCCAAAGGAGCAGCGCTTTAAGAAGCAGACCTGGCAGTTGGCATCAAGGGCAAACTTGCCTACAACAAACATCATCACTAGGCAGCAACAGGCTAACTCCTTTGGCCTTGGCCTCCTCAAGAAGTGATGTTGCAAGATATGACTTGTCCTCCTCTACCAATGACAATCCCACTGAAAGACCTTGAGCTTTGTAGGATGTGAAGATCATTTCCCCACCCAAAAGCAAAATGTCAACCTGCTCCAAAAGCAATTCAATCCCTCCAATCTTTGAGGAAACCTTTGAACCACCCACACCAGCAGCAAATGGACTTTTTGGGTTTGAAACGGCACCAACCAGTGAACCTAACTCCTATAACAGCAGCAGAACAAATTAACATCAACTGACAGGAATCTCAGAAGCAAGCAACAAATACTGGCAACATCAATCAGGTAACATGGATTCACAATGTGGCATTTTAAATGCACAAGATTGTTTGTAGAATAATAGCTTAGATGAAGCAAGCAAACCTTTTGTAAGAGGAACCCCCTAACTGAAGGTTTCAAGAATTTTGTGACACCTTCTGTGGAAGCATGCGGTCTGTGTGCAGTACCAATGTAGCATTAACATGTGTATCTTTTAATGAGACAAGCTTCTTTGAATATTCAGGTTAACCTATTCAACAATTCTAAAGGAGAAAGAACGCACGTACAGCAAGATTTAATCTTTCATAACAAAATGAAGTATCATATGACCAACTTCTTTTTGCTTTAAAGAAAAGAAAAAAAATTATTTTAAGTGAATTGTAGCCTACTTTGAGAGGACATACCTGAATACCAAGTAATTTTGATAAGCACGCGACAAGAGGGGCCAGACTGAAATTTGGAGTCACACATTTTGGGTGGCCCTGGAAGCGTGGAGAGCTTTGTTCATTTGTGAATCAAATCAAGATGAATGCAATGAAAGACATGATCCAAAAGAGAAGACAATTATGTGCATGCAAGAATTAGGCAACCAACCTTGTTCATAACCAAATCATCCAAAATATCTAAGGAAATGATAACTCTAAGTTGCAAGATCATACAAAGAAAATATCAGCTTCATACTTTCTTTTTTAAATTCATAATCCTTGAATCTAGATACAAACCGGGATTTCTTTTCTTAGTGGGAAGCTGGCTCATCCTCACCCAACAGTCCAAAAGAATAATCGTAGTGCTCCATGTAAACAACCTTGAAGACTGAATACATCCATAAGACTAACACATAAACTTTCAATAAATTCAAACCTGTTAAATCATTGTGCCAAGTTTGAAACTTTATATAAAATTAGTTTGTAGTGTAGTTAAGCAGCAGCATTGAAAGCATGAAGCATAATTAATTTCACAAAATAGGATATATTGTACATACAAAGAATTATTACAGGATGTGTTATAAAGTGTGGCTACCTTTCACAAAGCAAAGCTAAATATATTACATTCAAACTAACAAAATCAAGGACAAATTACCAAACATGAAATGTACTACTAGTCCATGCTGAAAGTAGGATCCGTACCCGTCATCGTTTCTGCTCTCTAGGTGCTTTTCCTTCTCATGTGGTGTAGAATCAGAGGTACTCCTTCAAATAGATGTGACAAGTAATTCTCCAAATCCTCAGACGTGTACTTTATGTACTTTCCAGCATGTTTGCCACTCTCTAGATGACTCCCAAATCTCCCCATGAAGGAACGATAAGCTGGAATCAACTTCTCTGAAATAGATATCTTAAGCTCATCTCTAAGTTGCAAGTCAGGGACCTTCCAAGCCGTCTGTATCCTATAAATATCTTCAAAACAAGCATTGAAATTCTTAAACCTCTCCTTCAAAAGCACCTTCGATGCATTACTTGAGCTCCCTCCAATCCCTTCGTCCTTCAAACAAGACAACACCTTGCTCCATGATGCTCTAAGATAACTTGTTGCATGCTTTCTAATCTGACCACGACGTTTCCGGATCCAATCATCACCCAAATATTTTGCAAGATCCGAATCTTTAACCTTCTGAACAATGTAAAGTATATTATTCATCAGAAACACAAATTTCAGCCCTTCCTCCTCATACATGCTTGACTTCTCGTCAAGGTTCAATTCCAAGGACAAGATCAAAGACAGCAAACGCAGTCCTATTGGACTCATGTTTTTGGCCTCCAGCTTTTCACCATCATTAACCACCTTTGCGTCCTTGGCTTCTGCTTCTTTTGCATCCTCACATTCAGCTTCCAATAATGCATTAAGTGTATCACTGTAATCAACGAGCAACTTCACATAATTCATTACATAACGCGTCAAGGGGTGAATCTCACCATTTTGAATTGGCCTCCTCGAGCTCTCATTCTGAACAGCATTCTGAAATTCAACAAAAGTCCCAATGGCTGCCTCACCCAACCCATCCACAACTCCCTGAGCCTCACTGTATACCATGTCACCTGCTTCTTTATCACTGCAAAGCTTCTTCAAATCAGGCAAAACATCTTTAAGTGCATCATACATATCAAGAATTCTGAACAACTTCTCTGATGACCTTCTACCAATAGCCACTGCTTCCCCGAAATTTAATAGCTGCATCACACATCCCTTGGTGGCCTCAATAAAGCAAACATCTTCAATAACATCCAAACCAGAAAAAATCTCCTCGCAGAGGCACTTTTCAGCGGTTAACAATATCCTGACCACAATTTTCAGCGCGTGAATCCATTTTTTCATTTTCTCATCCAAAGACTTCCACTCTATCCTCTGAACATCCTCGATACTAAGCTTCTCAACCCCTAAAATTGACATACACTCATCCAAGACATCACGACGGACGCTCGAATACACCTGACAACACTCCTTCTCATATCCTGCACGTATCATTCGGTCAGCAATTCCTTTGAGATCTAAAATAGCATCAGGGTTTACCAAATCATGAAATAATTCATCACTCCCCACACTCCCCTCGGTCACATGGCGATTATATCTGCAATAGACAATGCCGTCGCCATCACCCTCATTGTCATTGCCATCTCCATCATTATCGCCATGATCAGCAAAACTGCAAACCCCACTGCTGCTAGACTCCAAATCAGGAATCTGTGTAACTCCATCTGCAGGAGTGGAGGAGGAGTCAGAAGTGAGGCGAATCAAGAACTCATCGATCCTCTCGACATCCAGAGGAACCGTGTTCTGGATTAGGGTGTGACGAAACTCCTCTTCCAACCTTGACATAGCCAACTGCAGAGCATTCTCCACCCGCTCCAATTCCACACTTTCCAAAGCCAAGTCCTCCATCAACTGTATAACATAATCAACAGCCTGAAAATAAGCATCAATGACAAACTCATCGCTATTTGAGTCCCACCGGTGGATCAGCTCCTCAGCGGCCTCCAATTGCAAATCGGCTTGACTGTTGGGGGAAAAAGACGACATGTTGTCATCCCACCCACCAGCACCACCGCTGCCGCCAGCCACGACAGAAGGAGAGGAAGTTGAAGAGGGCGACGCAGCTGCAGCTGCGGCAGAAGCCGACGATGTCTGCATGATGTTAGACAGATTAGCAAAACGGGCATCGATTGACGAAAAAAGAAGAATCATATCATCTGTGTTAATGTTTGCTGAAGAGTTAAGGCTCTTGAGGATGTGTTGGGCAGCTGCTAAGACTTTTTGCTCTCCATCAGTACTACAAGTTGTCACCGCCATTTCCCCCTTTTTCCTCCTCTGTCTCTCATCCTCCTCTATTTCTTTTCTTCTTCTCCCTAAGACAAAATAGATGTAATTTTGTGAGTGACAAAAGGGGGGATTATTAAAACACACACAAAAAAAAATGTATTTCAGAGTAATTAATAATTACACAAAAATGTAGTGAAGATGTCTAAATTCATAGAGTCTGATTATAACGTTTGGGCTATGCAGAAATAAGGCGTCACCAGCACAAAATCCAAGACAAAAAATGACCAAATTAAAAAACCTCATTTCAATGAAATCTTTGATCAGAAAATGAAACAGAATATGTATGACCACAGACCTGCCAAATACCAACCACTTATTGCACAAAGAACCTCATTCACTGCAGTAGTTTCAAAACACTGAGAACATTGGCACTAAGCAATGCATAACAGGAGGTCAAGCCCACAGTGAAATTTATTCAAACTTCCATTTATACTCTACAGGGCCAACTAATTTTTAAAATCTAATCCACTCAGGGAAAATGCTGAGATATGCCGAGTTATGTAAGGTACGCAAATTGGGAAAATAGGACAAAAAAACTATTCAAGCATCTTCACGGGCAAGAATTCCAAGCTTGCAGGACCACCTTCTCCACCTGTTGAGATATGGCTCATCTTATCAGCAAACCCTGCCTTTTCCATAGCAGCTACATAGTCACCACCTCCAATGATCGTTGTCACTCCATTGCCACTAAGCTCTGCCAATTTTTTTGCAATAGCCTGAACATGAAAAGATCATCAAACACAAAATTTTACTTCATACGCAAAAGGCATCAGATGTACGCTACTGCAAAATCAGAGACAAATGATACCTCTGTTCCCGTCGCAAATTTGTCAAACTCGAAAACCCCCATTGGTCCATTCCAAATAATGGTTTTAGTAGTATCTAAAGCTTCAATAAATGACTTGATAGCATCAGGTCCTATATCCAATCCCATCCAACCATCAGGAATTCTAGAAGCTGCAACAACCTGCAAAAAAGCTTGGGTCCTTTTCAAAACCATAAAAAGCAACCAATTCTTACAGTATAGAATTAGAAATTAATTACTTCAACCCATATCAATGATTTGAGATATAACATACAGCATCAACTATTTAGACAACAAGTGTCAATTTGTTTGATCCTAGTGGGCGGAGAGAGAGGGGGGTGAGTTTTGATTTCCAACCTTGCTGTTTGCATCAGCAGCAAACTTGTCAGCCACAACTACATCAGTGGGAAGCAACAGGGAAACTCCCTTGGCCTTAGCCTTCTCGATGAATGATAGGGCAAGATCAAGCATGTCCTCCTCCACGAGTGAGGATCCAACAGAGTGCCCTTGGGCCTTATAGAATGTAAAGATCATTCCACCACCCAGTAAAAGGATGTCAACCTTATCTAACAGCGACTCGATCACACTAATCTTAGTTGAGAACTTTGAACCACCAAGAATTGCAGCAAATGGTTTCTTGGGATTTGCCACAGCTCCAACAAGATAATCAAGCTCCTGAGGCAGGAAAGCACAGGATAAACGTTACTCTGCAAATGCATGTGCCATGAAGAAAGTGAAAGGAGTCGCTCAACTGAAAAACCAACCTTCTGCATCAGAAATCCAGAAACAACGGGCTTCAAATATTTGGCTACTCCTTCGGTGGAAGCATGAGCTCTATGTGCAGTTCCAGAAACATCATTAACATACAAGTCTGCAAGAGAAGCCAACTTCTTTGCAAATTCAGGATCATTCTTATCCTCTTCTTTGTAAAACCTGACATTCTCCAGGAGCAAAACACCTCCTTCTGGCAAGGAAGCCACTAATTTCTCAACTTCTTCACCAATACAATCATTTGCCATCTTGACCTATTTGAGTGAAGATATAGAAGGTTTGCGAAAGAAAGCCCCTTAGCCTGTCAAAATTAAGGGGGGAAAAGGAAAGAAAAAACAAAACATGGAAGTACACTTAAACAACAGACCTCAACCCCAAGGAGTTCAGAGAGTCTAGGAACAAGGGGCTTCAAGCTGTACTTTGGGGTGACACCTTTTGGGCATCCCTGACATCAATATCCAGGCAAATACATCATTTGATTTGCTCCATGCCAAAAAGCTGACAATTACAAAAGCTATATATCCACCATTCATAAGCAAAACGTAAGCAGGACCTCTAAACTCCAGAATGGAAAATAAATAAGGGGATAAAATAATTATGCTATCCATGTAATACTTGTTTCCCAAGTAATTTACATGAAAAATGCTCAATAAAATCCAAGACAAGACAATAAAACCAAGTTCATTGAGGGCCCCTCATTTCTATCAAAAAAGGTTATACGTTTACAAGTAAAGTTTGAACTGTGCAACAGTTGTCGTACTAAAATATGATCATCCATTTTTCTTTTTCTTTTCTTTTTTTTTTTGGCATACAATGAACCATTTTTTTTTGTGAAGTATGTAATCATTATAATTTGCAAGTATCAAAGTTTCTCTAGTATAAGATGTCCAATAAAACAATCGGAATAATAATAGCAAATAAAAGCCAAATTTTGAGGCGAATAGAATTGCCATGAATTTGAAAACACATTTTGGCGTAACATTGAACGACGTAATTGCAGAATCATACATTAGAAGAAAAACAAAGAATCAACTACAATCAAATTGCCATTGACCTCAAACCCACTGTTCTGAATAAGTAGTAATAACATGGACTAATACAGGAAATATTACAGCAATGGATATCTATGGAAAACGCTCCAAAACGTTGAGAAGGTAATGTAGACAAGTGTACAGATACTAGAGAGAGAGAGAGAGAGAGACGAACGAGGTGAGAAGCGAGGATAACTTTAGCACCGTAGGCGATCAAGTAATTAATGGTGGGGACGGCGGCGCGGATTCTGGCGTCGTCGGTGATGTTGAAATTGTCATCCAAAGGAACGTCGAGATCCACCCTTACAAAAACCCTCTTCCCCTTGAGATCAGGTTCCTTGAGTGATCCCATGCTCCTTTGTGCCGCCATATCTCCAATCGTAATACCGGGGGTACTATTATTCAATCCGATCGTGTATGTGTAATTTCAAAGGGAGAACCAACAATCAAATACTAGCATGATGTCAGTGATTAATGCGCCACAATCATAATGAAAAGAAATGATAAATTGATTGACTCAACTTCTAAAATACACCCAACAACAAAAAAAAAAAAAGGAATGAGATAGTAAAAAGCTTGAATCGAATTGAAACTTAAAAGAGACGAAGACGACCAAGCAAACAACATACAATGATGGATGCGATGGAGAGCTTTCCTCTGCCGTCCGCGGTTTGGATGATGGTCAAGGAAAACCCCCTTGCCTGCTGGTTGCTGCCTACGAGCTTCCAGGGATCAGACCCCGCGGTGAGAGTTTATTTAGTAATAATTAGTATACCCGAAATGGTTAAGTGGAAAACCCCTTGCCGCCTATGGGTTACGGAAGCTGAGATGCAAGCACGACGTCGTCTAGAGCAATCTATTGGCGTTTGTGTCGCGTTTGAGTTTACAAGACTTGGCAAGGCCTCATATTATAGTTCAGCAGGATACAATACAAGGGGAAAAAAAAAATCGTTCTATTTTATACCCCAAAAAAAGGTCTTTCTTAGTCAACAGTAACGCTTAGTTTGGTTGCTTTAGATTTGACGGGAAAAGAAAAGAAAGTGAGAGAAGATTTTTCCTTTTTTTTTTTTTTATGTTTCAAAGTTGCGGAGCAAGGAAAAGGAAAAATATGGGAAGATTTGCAGCCTGTTCCGTTTCTACCATGTAATGTAACAGCAATTACGATCACTATAAAAAAAACCCCCCGCAATGATAATGGGTTTTTTCAAGATTCCGATATCCATTTACGGATGTTTAGTACCCGCCGCAATGAATGGGAATGCCTCCTTTTTTTTTTATTTAATTATTTGTTTCTTTTTCTATCCTTCTTTCCTGTGTTTATTTGCAGGAAGTTCAATCGAAGCGCTGACAGAGTACAAAATCATTTAAATCAAATCCCCTCGCTAACAATATCCTTTTGGATTCCGAATATTTCACCAAAGAATCAAGAATCTCTAATTTCTTAGCATCCAAGATAATTGTTTTTGGAGTGGCAATTCCTCGTCTAGTTAAATTATAACGGGCTGACGCCCTCCTTCGTACCCCAAAAAAAGGTAATTGTTTTTCCTGGGATTATTTCTAGCTAAACCATCTCCTAGGAAGCCAATAGATAAAGATCTTCATGGGGAGATTTGTGAATCATCAATTGCCTAAGAGATTCACTATCAATTATGTGGATAAATTGGCCAAGCCAATCTCTTTGGATTCCAACCTATTTCCATTTCTGTAAGCAAGGGAAGAAAATAGAGAGGGAAAGAACTTGGAAAGGATGGACAGCAACGCAGAAGAAAAGAGGGAGAAGAGTTTAGGAAAGATGGACAGGGATGGGGATGAAAGAGGAGATAGGGATTGTTGAGAGAGAGAGAGAGAGAGGATGTCCATTTTCTGTCTTCCTTCCAGGGTTTAATTTGATGAAGTATTTGATTTATTTTTACTTTAAAATGGGGTAAGTTGGAGTATAATCAATAATCTATGAGATGGAAAGACCCAAAAAATGTGTAATAACCAAATCCCATAGAGGTGTACCAGTATACGGGTTTTCATTGTCCTTTGTTTCTCGTTGAGGACAGAGAAACCCTCCAACCAAACGGGTGGTTAGATGGATCAGTCTGGTAACTACACTTGCAAAAACTTTTTCGGCCCGAAAAAGGAAAAAAAAAGTTGAAGCTAGCTTTATAAAAAATTTTTAAAATACCACTTTTATCCCTAAATGTTTATTAAACAAAATTTTATTGACCTATGTATTCAATATCATTTCGTTTCTTTCATAAACTCCCAAATTCCATCAAAACTAATCTCTTGTTTTCTATTCTTTTCTTTTCTTCCATAATAAATTTTCTCTTCTTTTCTTGTCTACCATAAACTCCCAAACTAGCAATAAGATGGCCCACTCAAAAAATGCGTTTTGCATGATGGATTAAGATTTATCTCATATATCCCTGTTATGTTATAAGGTCCAATTTTTGTCTGCATTGCAAAGTTTCAAGTGTTTTTGGAGAAAAATTACTGTAGTATTTTTTTAAGATGTGCTGTACGTAAGGTAAAAAGATAATAAAAAATGTATAAAAGAAATATTTACAAAGAATGTAAAATTTTTTAGCAAAAAATAGTAGTCCAAACAGAGCATTAGGCCCTATTTTTTGAAACTTCAAGTTTTCTTTAAAAAGAAAATAGGGTTCATCATAAAAATCCCTCCTAAGGTTTAACAAATTTGACACTTTAACCCTTAATATTATTTTCTTTTCTCACTTTATCTCCTAAATCATTAGTTAACTCTAACATTGGGTAATGAAAATAGCAAAGCAAAAAACAAAGCTATTTTTGGAGGTATTTTTTAAAAATTTTACTGTAGCAGAGTTTTTAAAGTATATTTTGGAATATATTTTAGGATATTTTTTAAACATTAAAAAAAATTTAGACTACATTTCAGAGTACCTTTTAAAATTTTTTATAGTATTTGAAAAACTAATTTTTGAAAAACTAATGGATCCAAACAGAGCTATTGACATCCCTAAGAGTTAATGATAGTAAATTCGCTTAAGATATAACCATTTTACACTTTGTTCTCGAATATTATTTTCCGCTTAAGTTGTTTATTTGTCCCTAAAACCATTAGCTAACTCTAATATTTTGTACCATTTAAGACAAAATAATGTTTAAAAAAATTAATATTCCTAACATAATAATAAAAACTATTATATATTTATGGATATAGATTTTGTTAGAAACACTCGCTGGGACATCATACAATTGAAACACACGTGTTCAGTCATGTAGGATATATTATTATTGCTCAAATGAGGAAAATAGAGTAGCGAAAAATATAACCAATTTTGCTGCAAGCTTAATACATGATGTGCAGCGGAAGCACAGCTTCCCACTGTGGATCTCACAGTGACATAATAGATGTAAATAGAAACACTTTCATTGGTAATAGAAATGAAAATTTGCCATTCTGACAAAAAAAAAAGAAAGAAATGAACATAATATTAGCACTCCTCAAAAAATCTCACACTCCTTAAACTTTATCTAATGCAAAGGAAAGGAGTGTTTGAGATTCTTCTAGGAGTGCTAATATCATTTTCCAAAAGCAACTACCAATATATGTTTCTCTCCTCATAAGAGAATGGAATGGATGACTGAAAATGAAAAAGATGATTGTAATTCAAATTTAGACATACCAAAGTTATTGCTTACGATTTTGGTAGTTAGTTTGTGACTTTATTCAGATGATCTGGGAAAGGACAGGCAAAATCAGACTTGACATTGAGCCAAAGGTGAACATCTACAATAACTCACTGCTTCCTACATCTCTCGTTTACAAACCCAAAGACCATAAAGAGGCATTAGGTCGAAAAATATATATATATATATATATATATATATGTATATATATATATATATCAGCTTTGGTTCTGCCTACACAGGAACTGGAGTAGCTTCATCTAGAGCAATGACACCAGGAAGTTGTTTGCCCTCCAAAAGCTCCAAACTAGCACCACCCCCGGTGGATATGTGGCTCATCACATCAGCAACTCCCACCTTCTCCACAGCTGCAACTGAATCCCCTCCTCCAATAATGGTTGTGACTCCCTTCCTGCTCAGGTTAGCTAGCTTCTTCGCAGTGGCCTGCAAAAAACATTTTAACGCATTCGCTTCACTACATCCTCTTCCTTTGGTAAAAAACACAAGTTATTTTAATACTTAATGCAGGGATCACAAGGGAAGTGCTACAAGTCAGGGATTCCTCAAGAAAGGTGCAAGCCCAGTCGTAAAGCCCGCAACTACGCAACACAATACAGTTGCAACCCCACTTTCTGTTAAAACTTCTTTGAAAAACAAATGAAACCAAATTCTGTGTCAAAGCATTTTTACCTCTGTTCCGACAGCAAATTTGTCAAATTCAAAGACTCCCATAGGTCCATTCCAAATTACGGTTTTAGTAGTCTCCAAGGCCTCACTGAATGTTTTGATTGAGTCCGGCCCAATATCCAGTCCCATCCAGCCATCTGGAATGGCAGACGCTGGCACAACCTATGATAATAAACACAAACTTTCAGTTTTTCAACTCACCATTTCTGCCAACAATGCATGAAGACCTTAGCATCTTTGATAATCAACATCAATTTCGATCAAGCAATGAAGACATTGATCTCTTACAGAATGCATAAAATGCGTCAAGAGAAGCAAAGCTTTAAGACGCAAACCTGGCTGTTCGCATCAGGGGCAAACTTGTCCGCAATAATAACATCACTGGGCAGCAACAGACTAACCCCTTTGGCCTTGGCCTTCTCAAGAAGTGATTTTGCAAGATCTAACTTGTCCTCCTCTACCAATGAAGAACCCACTGAAAGACCTTGAGCTTTGTAGAATGTGAAGATCATTCCTCCACCCAAAAGCAAAATGTCAACCTTCTCCAAAAGTGATTCAATCACTCCAATCTTTGAGGAAACCTTTGAACCGCCCACAATGGCAGCAAATGGTCTTTTCGGGTTTGAAACCGCACCAACCAGATAGTCCAACTCCTATAACAGCAGGAGAACAAATCACCGCTAGTTTACAAGAACCTCATAAGGAAGCAACAAATACTGGCACCATTAATCAGGTAACGTGGACTAACCAATCTGGAAATACAAAAGGCACAAGATTATTTGCAGAATGCTCCATACATTATGATAGGTTAGATGAAGCACACAAACCTTTTGTAAGAGGAACCCAGCAACTGAAGGTTTCAAGAATTTTGTGACCCCTTCTGTGGAGGCATGCGCTCTGTGTGCCGTACCAAATGCATCATTAACATAAATATCTGCTAGAGAGGCAAGCTTCTTTGCAAATTCAGGTTCATTCTTCTCTTCCTCCTTATAAAACCTCACATTCTCAAGAAGAAGAACACCACCGTCAGGAAGGGAAGCCACCAACTTTTCAACCTCTGGGCCAATGCAGTCATCAGCCTTAACAACCTATTCAACATTTGTAAAGGAGAAAGAACGCATGTAAAACGACAGTCAGTCCTTGGTAACATAAGGAAGTATCATCAGGAACCAAAAAAAAAAATGAATAAAGATTGTTTTGAGCAATTTGCAGCGTGACTTTCAAAGGATATACCTGAATACCGAGTAATTCTGATAAGCGGGGGACAAGAGGGGCCAGGCTGAATTTTGGAGTCACACCTTTTGGTCGGCCCTGGAAGCGTGGAGAGCATTTATCATTTTAAAACAAAGCAAGATGGGTGCTATAAGAGATATCAACAAAAGGAGAAGGCGATCATATACATGCAAGAATTAGACAACCAACCATGTCCATGACCAAATCATCCAAAATGTGCAAGGAAATGGTAAGATCAAACTTGCAAGATCATATTAAGAAAATATCAACTTCGTACTTTACTTTATTTATTATTATTTTTTAAAAATAATCCTTGAGAAGATAAGCAGCCAAGCTCTCTTTGGTTAGTGGGAAGCTGGCTCATCCTCACTCAACAGTCCAAAACGATCATCATACTACTTTACATACCCATTCTTGATGACTGAATACATCTAATACAAAGGGCACATTAATGTTCAATTGATTGAAATAAATGTGCAAGTTTGAAACTTTAGATTTAAATCCGCAAGACAGAATCAGGAATAAGATGTGTGTGTGTGTGTATTAATTACAAGCGAAATGAAAAATGAGTTCAAAGAATTCCAAGATAGATTTAAGGGCAGAAAAACAAAATGGCAGGTCAGTCTGGCGTCTAATTCAAACAACGGGCAGTTCCAACGACATAATGATTAGTGTGGCTTGAATATGGATTATGAAAAATACAGCATAGGTGGGAGAGTGAAAAGCTTGGAGTGAGGTGGTGTGGTGACTCACCAAATGACTGGAGAGGATAACCTTAGCTCCGTTAGAAATCAAATGCTTAATAGTGGGGATAGCAGCTCTAATCCTAGTATCATCAGTGATGTTCTGGTTGTCATCGAGAGGGACATTCAAATCGGCCCTGACGAACACGTTCTTGCCCTTCAAGTCGGCGGCGGTGAGGTCCCCGACACTCTTCTTGGCCATTGAGGCAACGCCTCTGATAGGCTTGGCAGAGGCTTTGAGGGATCGGAGCTTGGTGGCAACATGGTGGGTGAAAATTGGGTCAGCAGCGGCAGCAGCGAAGCCTAGGCGGCGAAGGGAAGTCTTGGGGAGGAAGCGGGTGGTGGGGACATTGAGGGAGGAGGGTCGAGTGGTGGAGGATGACGAGGTTGGGGAAACACCACGGAAAGTGTGCGGTGCTGCTGCGGACGCCATTCACACACGCACTTTCTTCTTGAGGTCTCTTTTAAGAATGGAAAATGAAACTACGGGACTGAGTGTTCTACTAGCAGTGCAGTGCGGGAGAGACAGACTTGCTTTTGAGAGGGGAAAGGAAAGAAACAACAAACAAGTAGCGGTTCAATTCTGCTAGTCTATGCTGGTAGGATTTTAGGGACTGGGGAAATGTTGATTGATGAAGATGGGGCCGGCGTTGCCAATTGCGGGGAGAAATCAGAAAAGGGTGGGCGGGTATTTGTGGACGTGGAAATTGAAGCAGAGATTGGGAATGGGTGGGTGCTGAGCAGGGGATTTTCTCTTATCGTCGAGGAGAGGTCCAAGATGTTCGTTCGATGATTTTCACGCTCTCACTCACACCCTCCTCTCGGCCGACTGACTACTCCTTTCATTACGACTACAGAGCTCCTCTACATATTTGCTTTGCCTAATCATTTCTCTGTTTCTTCCCCTGCTGTTATTTATTCATTTTCCATTCCATTCTTCGTTGTTAAAACTTAAAAGTGGTACTGCTAGTGTCGAAAGTGCTAACTCGAACGCACGGTGCCCCTTTTTTTTTTTTTAATAATTTTTTTGGGTACTTCAAATCAAATCGAATTCAGATTAATTACGTGCAATTTGATCTATCTGGTAACTATTTGTGAGGTCTTGTCCACTTTCTTGTTTCTACCTTGGAAAGAAAAATAAAATAGATAAGAGGGACCCACAATTTCAACTCAAGTTGCATAGGATTAACGGAGAAACATATATTTATTAAATTTCAAAGTGATGCTTAATTAAAGAATCAATCACAACCTCCTTAGCATCAAGTTGTAAAATAATGAAATGCGATACGCTGTCTAAAGAACAGATGAGGTGAGAGCCTATAATAAATATGGCAAATTATCCAATTGGCCCTTTAACTCTTTATCTAGATAAAATTAAGCCATTCATCTATTTTTTGCTGACTTTAAGCCCTTGAACTTGTAAAAGTGGGAAACCGTGGCCCTTTTAGTCAGTTTCTCCGGTTTTGTAACTGGAGAACCAATTCACACAAATGCAAGTGTGCTTCTTCAAAGGGCATTTTTGTCCGCATATTCTAAGCAAAAAGGGCACAACTCCTCCACCTTCTCTCCATTTTTCTAACCCAACCCAACTGCTAGTCGAAACTTCACAGCAACAGCCTTACCCATTTTCATCTTCTCTTAAGGATCTTTGCAGAGAGAGAAGAGCAAGAGAGTTAATTCCTACTTGTCAGGTTTGGGTATCAACGACATTGAAGCAACAATGGAGGGGTGGCAAATCAGGCCGGAAAATGAATACTTTGATCCTGTCCTCGCTTATAGTATGTATATTCGTTCGAACCTTTAAATGTGAAATAGGTAGCATATTTAGTGGTCGGATGGGTGAAGAGAGTAAAATTTTGGTGGTGGGGATTACTGAAAGTGACGTGCCAGTGGTCCTAGATGTGGGGGTATGGTGGTGGGCACCTAAGTTTGTTGTTTAATTGTTCAAAAAGTGTAGGGATTTACGAATAATTAGCATTTCATTAAAAGTTAGAACTTTTTGATTGTTTAACTTCGATTTAAGCATTACATTAGGGTTACTTTTTAAAAAAGCATGTGAAAAATAAATTGAAATTTTAATTAATTATATTTGAACTTGAATAGTATATTTATCTGCATTTGTTGTAGCCCAACTTGTATTGAAACAATATATTCATATTGATATGCAGATCCAGAATGTGAAATATTTAGCATAAGATTACACCGTGGGGGAAGAATAAATTGAAAAAATTATGTCAGTTATGAGAATGGAGAAGTGGCCTACATAGATATGTGTGATGCTGAACGTATGTCAATCCATGAGTTGAATAAAATGGTTGAAAAAGTTGGTCATCGTAATGCAGCCATTTTGTACTATTACCTTGAACCAGTTGCAGACATGAGGACTGGTTTGAGAGAATTGTCTACTGATACCCATGTTAGAACATTCTGTGACTGGGCATATAAATTCAAGGTGATGAAAGTGCATTGCCATCATCTGACAGATCCAGAAATTGAAGAACTGAAAAATGCTGTAATAATAGAGTCACCAGACAAGGGGAAAAAGAAAACTGGAGTTGTCATAGAGGAAGTAGATGAGGAAGAATGTATAACTAGATATGTAGGTACTGAGAAGAGTAGTAGAAGGGATTGTATGGTTGGGAATGTAGGGGGTGAAAAAAGAGCAAAAAACAGTCAAAGGGATAGTAATGTTAGGCCAGCAGAGGGTGTAGATACGGTTGAAACGGTAAGGGGTGAAAAAACAGCAAAAAGCACTCATGCAGCTAGTAATGTTGGGACAGAAGAGGGTGAACATGAAGCTGACTATGGTGGTGGTGAACACGAAGGTGAACATGAAGCAGAGGGTGAACATGAAGCTGACTATGGTGGTGAACAGCAATGTGAACATGAAGCAGAGGGTGAAAACATGGATGATGAATCTGAATCACAAGTAGAGGAAGAAAATGATAGATTTAGTGGCGCCAATGACTATGGTGGTGAAAAGATTATGCTGGACATTTTGAATTCGAATGCTGATGGCTGTGGTGAAACTTCACAGCAACAGCAGAGAAATGAAACAACTGACCAGACACAATGTTCAGAACAGGAGAATGTTTGTGGAAGGCAAATAGAAACTGACCTGAAAACACAACAGCAAGGTGCGAGAAAGAAACAAGTTAGGAGAAAGAAAACCAGATCAGCAAAACAAACTAACCAGGGACCAGAGGATATAGATTCACTCCAACAAGATTACATCCTTGATCACCTGAGCAGTGACAATGACTCATCAGATGATGAATTCAAAGGGAGATACAAGGACTTTGTCCTAGAGAAATTCCTCATGGATCCCAAATTCGAGATTGGGATGAAGTTTGAGTCAAGAGCACAATTCAAATCTGATGTGACTGAGTATGGGATTAGGATGGGTAAACCTGTTTGGACCAGTAAAAATGAGCCCACCAGGGTGAGGGCCAAGTGTAGGGAACCATGTAAATGGTTTGTATTTGCTTCAATAGAAAAGGCTCTGGGCACAAAGGACTTGGTAGTAAAATCTCTGCATGATGTCCATGAAACATGCAACCATGCATGGAAAAATAAGAATATTACAGCCAAGTGGCTGTCTGACAGGTATGTAGAGAGAATAAGATCAGATAACAATCTGCCAACAAGAGAGTTAAGGCAAACAGTCCATGAAGACTACCAGGCAGAAATATCTAAGCATGTTGCAGCTAAGACGAAAACATTAGCTATAGAGAATATCAAAGGGTCAGCTGAGTCACAATACAAGAAAATATGACAATATTGTGAAGAAATTAAAAGGACTCATCCTGGCATTACAATGGAGGTTATGTTCACTCCATTTAGAGAAGCTGGATGTAATCCAAGGTTCATGAGGATGTACTGCTGCCTTGGCCTACTGAAGAAAGGCTTTAAAGATGGGTGCAGACCTATTTTGTGTTTGGATGGATGTCATATTAAAGATAGATACCCAGGCCAGCTGTTGACAGCTATTGCAGTGGACCCCAACAACAGCTTTTGGCCAGTTGCATGGGCAGCTGTTGAAAAGGAGGCCATGGAGCAATGGAGATGGTTCCTAACCCTCTTGAGTGGCGACCTGAAAATACAGAACCAGGGACATTATACTTTCATGTCCGACCAGCAGAAGGTAAAAGCTTAATGAGAGCTCTAAAACTTTTATTTTATGGTAAAAATAAGCCCCTTAACTTTGTATAGCAGAATGTAAGCCCCTTAACTTTTAGTGTAGGTAAAAACAAGCCCATGAACTTTTAATATAGCATACTTGTTGCCCTCAAACTCACCACTTGGCTTGGATATCTAACTTATACCTGTTGTGATATTTTTTGTAGGGACTAGATAGAGCACTCGCAGAGGTTCTACCAAATTCTGAACACAGATACTGTGTTCAACACATGTATAGAAATTTCAAGAAGAAACATCCAGGATTAGGTTTAAATGATCGATTATGGCATATAGCAAGCACCACAACAGTTGAACATTTCAACCAAGCCTTGGATGACCTTGAAACCTATGACAAAGAAGCACATGCATGGGTGAAGAAGGGACCACACCATCGACATTGGTGTAAGGCCTTTTTTTCCAAACATACACAGTGTGATATATTGGTTAATAACCTGTGTGAATCATTTAATGCCCATATTTTAGAGGCTAGGGACCAGCCTATTATTTCTATGATGGAGGCTATTAGGGAATATCTGATGGAAAGGATCCAAAAGAGAAGGGCAGCAATGGAAAAATACAAGTTAGATGGTGGACTACTCATTAGAAAAATTGTGGAAGAAAGGGTTAAACGTGCAGTACAATGGAAAATAACATGAAATTCAAGCTCAGGTTATCAAGCAAAAGGGCCACGGGGAGCCCAATTTGCTGTTAACCTTGACAAAAATGAGTGCACCTGCAATTTGTGGGCCTTGAGTGGCATTCCATGTTCCCATGCAATTGCTGCTCTACATAGAGCTAAAAAAGATCCCCACAAAATGTTGGCTAACTGCTATCATAGGGAGGTATTTTTTAACATCTATGATAATGTGTTTCAGCCTATTAATGGAGATATCCAGTGGCCACAGTCAGACATGCTGGAGTTGGACCCACCAGCAAGTGTCACTCAACCTGGCAGGCCAAAGAAAGCTAGAAAGAGAGATGTTACAGAAGGAAAAGATCATGGTAAAAGGTTGCGAAAGAGGGTTGTAATCCACTGTAGAAAGTGTGGAGGGATTGGACATAATGCTAAAATTTGCAAGAATCCTCCTAAGTCATCTACTGAACAGCAACCTTCTCAACAACCAGCACCTACTGGACAACCATGTAATCAGCAGCAGCACGAAGCACCAACAAAAAAACAACGTGTGCGTTTGCACTTCATTATAACTTTCAGCCTGTTTGTGACCTTTTTTTGTGATCTGAAATGCTTTCTTTAATATGTAGGTAAACAAGAATCAGGGACAAAGAAATCAGCAAAAAACTCAGCAGCAGCCAACACATCAACCTCAGTCCCAGTCTTCTCAGCAGCAGCCAACACATCAACCTCAGTCTCAGCCTTCTCAGCAACCTCAGTCCCAGCCTTCTCAGCAGCAGCCAACACATCAACCTCAGTCCCAGCAATCCATCTCAAGACCACTAGTTCATAGGCACAAGAGAAGTACATCAAAAAGGCCACTGACAGAAGCAGACAAAGGTTTTATTAATCTTAACTATGCTTATTTGGGTAAAGATCCACCTTTCAATGTTGGAAACTGGCAGGGAAGAGGTGGAGAAAGTGGAAGAGGCAGGGGAAGGGGAAGAGGAAAGGGTCCATCTGGAACAAGTTCTTGAAGTATTGCTGGACCTGCAGATATTTTTGTGTGATTTTGTTGACTGTAAATGGATGTAACTAGAATGTTGAAACTATAAATGATATTTTTTTGAATAGGCTTTTGTGGGGAATCAAAGCATGCGCCTGTGCTTGGTATCTAGCAATATGGACACAGGTCACTGCTTTTTGTGTATTTGTCTGTTTCCTATGAAAGGGATTGTTGACTGTATTTACAGGCAAACATCATTGTAATTTCCTTTTGCTAATTATATTCTAATGTTATGCAGTTGCTATCTTATATTTGTATGGTTTGGTATAGCAGTTTTTGTTGACTAGATAAATCAAATACATCCAACAAAGCCCATGACATGCGAATTGAGATAAATAATTCTCATCACATTACTTGCCAAAAATTACAGTTAGCATTGATTGGGTTCAACCACACTTTTACACTAATCTGTGGGTACAACAAAGACTTGTTTAAGCTAAACAATACAATATACTTCTCCCTAACCATCTGCATCATACACCATAGATCCATTTGCTCCATCCATGGTCCTTAAAACTGGCAGTACCGATGGCAATATGTTACACTTACACACTGCCCTTCATGTATCGCCTTCAATTTGCATAATTCCATTACATTTATTCCCAATTTGGAGCATCCCAAGAGAGACTCCACCTGCAATTTTTTTCTCTGTAAGCACCATTATTACAGCAACCAACCAACTTACCACAAGAACCCTTACAAGGAACTTATTCAACCATTTCTGTCACCGCAGCTGCTCTTCTGTTTCTCTCAATTTTGCCTTCAACTTAGCAGCTTTTGCCTCGGATCTCACAGCTGCAGTTTCAAATTCGTCTTTTTGCTTTTCTGTTGCATTGATCCTCCTTAGAAGGCCTGGTATCAGCTCAATAGAACGACGGCACATCTCGTCGTCAATCCAATTCCAATACCCGCAGCCACCAACTTCTTCTGAGCAAATGGCGTACTTCTTCCTGGATTTCTATCAATCCAAGAAGTAATCATTTTCGTGACTTTACCGCAACGACAAGTAGGAAGTAGAGGGCCGCGATATTTGCGCATTTTTTCCTTCCCTTCACAAAGCTTTTACCTTCTCCCCCTTTTTTTTTCCTTTCAGACTTCTCTCTTGCTTCAATGTCGATGATTTTTCGGCCTGATTTGCCACTCCTTGTTGCTTCAATGTCGATGATACCCAAACCCGACAGTGCTGATTCTCTCTTGCTCTTCTCCCTCCGCAAAGATCCTTAAGGGAAGATGAAAATGGGTAAGGAAAATGTAGAAAAGATTTTCTCTTGCCACTCCATTGTTGCTTCCATTGTTGCTGTGAAGTTTCGACTAGCAGTTGGGTTGGGTTAGGAAAATGGAGGGAGGGAGGAGTTGTGCCCTTTTTGCTTAGAATATGCGGACAAAAATGCCCTTTGAAGAAGCGCACTTGCATTCGTGTGAATTGGTTTTCCGGTTGCAAAACCGGAGAAACTGGCTAAAAGGGTCACGGTTTCCCACTTTTACAAGTTTAAGGGCTTAAAGTCAGCAAAAAATAGATGAGGGGTTTAATTTTATCTAGACAAAGAGTTAAAGGGCCAATTGGATAATTTGCCCTAATAAATATAAGGGGCACTGCTCTTGAGACTGGATTTATTTATTTTTATACGGCAATAGTTACTCTAATTTAACTAGTCTTTCAGAAAAGAAAAGAAGACCCAACTCGACATTGGAATTCTCTTATTTTCTATATATTAAAAATGAAAACAATACACTTACAAGTATTTAGAGAAGTCTTTGGCATGCAAACCTATTATGTTGTGGATGGATTGAAGTGAAAGCAAAATCTTGATAAGGTCTGGGCTCACAGAACAGCTGGCTGGACGGGAGGCCCGTGAACCAACCACCATAGTTCCATTTGGATTTGAGACTTTGCACCCAATTGTAGAGAGCCCACTCCAGAGCAGTTTGAGTACAATCCTGAACTACTAATAAAAAAGTCTGCTAGCAGTAGCAGCAAATCCAGAAGAGAAGACGGCAAAAATGCAAAGAGGATGATGATGATGATGAGCAGGCTCCTTTGTTCTTCTCCTCATCCGCCCCTTCCCCTTCATCTTCCCCTCGAACATGTCCCAAATTCCTATTGCCAGTCCCCACTTGCTGAATTCCGTCCCCGTCCTCTCCAGTTCCAGTCTCCTCCGCCAACCACGCTAGTCTTTATCGGAAGAAGCAGCAGAAGAAAGAGTACGGGCAGGGGCAGGGCTCTGAGAGAATGGCAAGATTACGAGGAGGCTGTCAAGGACAAGGACCTCGCTCGAGCTCTCCGCTTGTTAAAGGAGAATTCTTCGATCGAGCCGAATGATGGTGGAGCTTTGCAGAGGAAGGGGGACTGGCAAGTCCTGGATACATGCTTGAATGCTGACGATATGAGGCTCGTTGCAAGTGCCTACACCTTTCTCAAGGACCAAGGTCGCTTACCCAATTTCGGGAAGTACCGAAATATCGGTAATCACGTCTTGATTTTTCGTTATTCTTTTCTCCTACTTGAGCTACTATCTATACACTATGCACCCCTTGATATATTTACAGGTGGTTTTCCGGGAAGGAGCCAATGCGGAAAAAAAAAACTAAATATTTAAGTTACATAAATGTTGTGTTACTTCACAAAAATTTCTTTGCTCTTCCCTCCATTCTGGCAAGCCCATCTCTTCTGTTTTCTATGAATTCTCATTAAATCATTAAATTTTTATTTGAGAGTATAATAGTTATATACCTATAGCCAGGATTGTGTTCGTAGCATATGCTCCCATTGATCCATCTATCAGTTTTCTACCTGTAGCTAGTTCTTTTATTGTTCATTGAAATTTGACCTTTGCATATGCCTCCTATCTCGTAAATCTTGATTCCTTCCTGACATGCTTATTGTGCCATCCATTCTGAAGAACCACTTTCCTATCGCTTGCAAATGTTATAATCACTTAAGATACAAATTAAACATTTTAACTGATTTTCTCCTGATGATTCCTTATTTAGTGCAGTTCTGGAAGGACCAAGAGAGATTACACCGAATGTCTTGACGTCTGCAACTGGTTTAGAAGGTGCCATGTAAAACTGGTTTACATGCGCATGTACCTTTTGTGACAAGTACCGGAATATATTGCATAATGTGATTTCCTTAATGCATTGAGTAGGCTACATTTTGTAAAAATAAATTAATACTCTATACAGCATTTGGAGGTCAAATACTCTGAACATCTTAGTTTTACTGCTCCATCTGTTCTTTCTTATATAGATCCTTTCCCATTACAGTTTCAAAGCTTTCACCAAAGAAGTGGGGCCTGTCCGGAAGCTCCAGTGTTCTTCTGATTGCTTTGCTAGCTGGAGTATCCTTTTTGCTAAATCAGGGAATAGATATTAGACCCAATCTTGCTGCAGTATTGGGGCTGGCCATGTTAGATGCTATTCTTTTAGGCGGCTCGTGCTTGGCTCAAATCTCAAGTTATTGGCCTCTGTATAAGCGTAGGATTTTGGTCCATGAAGCTGGTCATCTTCTTGTAGGTAAATGTGTCCACTAATCTCTGGGAAAAAATCCTTTCCCACAGTTGGACGATAGGTGGTGTATTTATATGGAAATTTTTCTGTAATAGTTGCATATTAAAAGCCATTTTTAGCCTTCTGTGTTGGGGATTATTTCTAAGGTATACTTTTTCCGTTCACTGAATGTCGAAGATGTTTTTATATGAGTAGCTGATGTGCTTCCTCCAATCTCCTTCTGTGGCTTTTTTGTTTTAATGATACTCCAATACATAATTTTGGCGCAATATAACCCTTCCATGAACAGACATTTGATCCAAATTATTGCATGAAAATTGCAGCATATCTAATGGGTTGTCCGATTCGAGGTGTAATACTGGACCCTATTGTTGCAATGCAATCGGGAATTCAAGGCCAGGTAATTCAAATAAAGTCCGTCTTACAGACCATTTTCTTTGTCAAGTATGCAACATGTTTGCCCAGATTAACATGTCAAGCTTATTCTGATTTCACAAACATTTAAAGAAATGTTTTATGTTGTGCTTAACAACTTTCACTCCCATTAAACTTTATCTATTTAAACAGTTTAATGTTTTTGAAGTACTTTTAACAAAGTGTACACAAAGTTTTCCATCTGACTGATAATTGCTATGTGAACTTCTTGTCTTGCTGGTTTTTCTCTGCAAGTGGTCCTCCTGTATTTGGTGTGTCCGTCGCTTGGTGCGTTCATTTTAGATGACTCTGCTACACTACATCTTTACCACCAGCTGCCGTATATGAAGATGAAATCTTTGTTATTCCAATCCCCCCATGTTTTCTAAGCTTGGTTAAAGTTGGCCTTATGGACTCAAAAGTGACAATTGTTCCCCTCAATGTTTATCATCTGTGTGCTAGGTTTTTTATGCCCCAACCACCCCCCCCCCCAAAAGGCCTCTTTTTAAGTGGGGTTATCACCAACCTGATAGTAGGATAGGAGTTTGTTGGAATGTAGTACTTGCCAATGATGAGCATATTAAGAATGCATTTACTTCTTTACTGAACTCTTTATTTACATTGCTTTTCTGAATCTAAGTTGATGATTCGTC